GTATTTATGATGACAACTGTACCAATGTCACTTATCATGAGGCAAAGAAGATGCATTGCTTTTGAGAGGCAGCATCGGGTAGCATAAGGAGCTCAGAAGAAAAGAGGCCATCTCGAATTTTGGGGGAAATCAGCAGGCAAGGATTTATCATCCAAAGAAATCATAATCGCCTCCTTATCGCCTCATCAGCCGCAGCTTTCAAGCCAACAAGAATCAAATGTCCTCGCTTCGCTACAACTTATCGTATCCAACCGGCTAAATGCTTCTAGGGTTTCGCCCAACACCCCTGTAATAAGGGTGTTCATGTTTCAATTGTAAGTAATCACTGATTTATTTCTAGAAAGGAATGTCCAGATTCAAGCTTGCGCCTAATCCAAACTATGAAGGCGTCTGTAGAATCAACAAAGAACAGTGTCAGTATATCAAGAAATAACAACCAATGCCTGGGAAGGCAAAGATGAAAGGGAAGCGGGGCGATTCTGCACCTATTCAAGGCGGGAAATTAGGAAGGTCAGAGCCAAATATGATGGGTATGTTTCACATCGCTAATCATTACGCGCTTATATATTTGCCAGTTGAGTGCATCCTCATTCCTTCATCATCAGAACATTTGTAGTAAAGCATGAGATTTCAATTGGGGCAACAAAGGAAAATTTCTTTATACAAGCACCTGGGATGTGCAATGTACTAAGGAAATGGTATACCGTGTACTTATAAACACTGGTGGGCATATTTTCCCATTAATATGATTATCCTAAAGGATCGTGGATATAGATATAATCTTGGGAATGAATTGGATGTCGGCCTTAAGAGATATATCACAGGATGCTTAGAATAGAACAATAAGGTGAATAAGCCCAGATAGTCATTCTCTTCTCATCCAACTTCCCACCTTAAGAAGATTAGGGGGCAAAAGTTTGTGCAACGCACATCAAAGATTAGAGATATCCCGGTAGTGTGTGGAGATCTTTATGATGTGTTTCAAGATTTACCCGTCTACCACACCGATAGGAACATGTCCAGCTTTTAATATAGAGTTAAAACTAGGAACGGCTCCGATTTTCTCGAGAGCTTATAGGATGCCACCCAAGGAGTTAGCCGAAGTTGAAGACTCGATTGCAAGAATTGATTGATAAGGGTTTATCCAACCTAGTTCATCACCTTGGGGATGTCACCGCTATTTTTGTGAAAAGAAAGATGAGACCACGAGGTTATGTGTCGACTATCATGAATAGCTGAATGAAGTGACCATCAAGAATAAGTATCCCTTACCGGATAGGTGCCTTTTTGATCAATTGGCCGTAGCTAGAGTTTCTCCAAGATTGATTTGAGTGGAGGTTATCACTAAGATTAAACCAAGATATTCCTAAAACGGCATTTACCACAAGATATGGATTATATGAATACTTGGTAATGTCTTTGGTTTGACAAACGCTTGACTCATTTCATGTATCCGATGAATTCAGATTCATGTCTCCAGCTAGACATATTTATAGTGGTGTTTTTTGATGACATTCTAGTATATTCCAAGAATAAGGAAGAACATACAAGAACATCAAATTATTACGATCCAAGCTTGAAGAACTTATCAACTATATGTTGAGTTCAAATAAGTGTGATTTTTGGCTGGAGGAAGTACAATTTCTTGGACATGTCTTGTCGGTGAAGGTGTTGCTGATTGATCCAAGCAAAGTGAAGGATGTGCTTGATTGAAACCGCCAACCACGCATCACTCCGGGTTCGGAGTTTTCTAGGATTGGCGGGTATTACCATCGCTTTTATTCAGGATTTCTCTAGAGTATCAAAGTCCATCCATCGAGTTGTTGAAGAACCAAGTCAAGTTTGTGCAGTCATCCGATTGTTGTGAAGCTTTCTAGACTTTGAAGAGACTGCTGACCACTCGCGCCAGATATAGGCTCAACCAAATATCGAGAAGCCACTTGATGTTTATTGTGATGCTTTAGGTATTGGTATTGGATGTGTGTTGATGCAAGAAGGTCGAAGTCATTATTTCTATGCATCGCACAACAAGCAACATGAAGAACACTATCCGACTCATGATCTCGAATTGTGCAAATTGTTGTCCATGCTCTAAAGATTTGGGCATTACCGCTTGTAATATGTGCCATATTTATAGCATTCACAAGAGTTTAAGTATATCTTTACAAATCGAGAATTGAACATGCGATAAAGAAGATGGTTAGAAGCGATTAAAGATTATGACTTGAGGTACATTATCACTACGACAAAGAAAATATGGTTGCGGATGCCCTTAATGCATAAAAGTTATTGCAATTGTATGCAGCGGTGAGAACAATAGGATTGACTTTATGTCAAGAGATGGAGAAGTTGAATGAGAGGTAATTCAATAAAGGCGGTTTGACCAACATAATGGTTGAAGCCACTATTCAAGATCAAGTTATTGCTGCTTTCGAGAAAGAAAACAAAGGGTATAGCCCATATCAAAGAAAAGGGTCGTGGGAATGGAAAAGCGGAATGCTTCAACATAGAAGATGAAGGTGTGTTGTGGTTCAAGGATCGTCTGGTGGTACCAAAGGTTCACCGAGTTGCGATGATCAATTCTAGAAGAGGCACATGCTACTAGGTTATCTATCCATCCGGAAGTAACAAGATGTACCATGACTTCAAACAAAGATTTTGGTGGACCAAAATAAAGATAGAGATTGCTAAATACATAGCAAAGTGTGATACTTTGTCAAAAGGTGAAAGCTATACATTTGAGGTCTCTTGGTAAATTACAACCATTACCTATTCTATCTTGCAAGTGGGAGGACATAAGTATGGACTTTATTGTTGGTCTACCCAAGACATCAAAGGATTTAAATCAATATGGTTTATTGTAGATCGATCAACCAAGTCGTGCACATTTTCTTCCGATCCGAATACATATCCCACTATATGGTATGCCAAGATGTATTTAGAGCTTAATCAAGAGAGCTCCATGGAGTACCCAAGACTATTGTGTACGATAGGGGTAGGTACAGTTTGTCTCTAGCTTTTGGAAACAATTGCATTCTTCATTGGGTAAAAACTATTATATAGATATGACTTATCATCCGTAGACTAATGGATGACCGAAAGAGTCAATGAAGTACTTGAAGATATGTTAAGGTGTTGTGTCCTTAACTATTCCAATAAGTGGGACGAATGCTTTACCTTTGGTCGAAGTTCTCATACAACAATAGTTATCGTGAAAGCATTAGAGTATGGCTCCCATTTGAAGCACTCTATGGTCGAGATCTGAACATCGGCCGAGTTGGTCCGAGCACATGGAGAAAGAAGGTTCTTTGGAGTTGACCTTGTGAAAGAAAAGAGAAGACAAGGTTAGGCAAATACAAAGTAATTTGAAGATAGCTCAGGTCCACAAAAAGAGTTATGCGGATGAACAACGAGAACCATTGGTGTTTAACAAAGGAGATTTTGTATATCTGAAAGTATCACCAATGAAGGGAGTTAATCGTTTTGGTGTTAAAGGAAAGTTGGCACCTCGATATATTGGACCCTTTCAAATTTTGGAGAGGTATGGAAAAGTGGCATATCGCTTGAAATTGCAGAACATCTCCTTGTTTGTGCATGATGTGTTCCATGTTTCTCAATTAAAGAAGTGTCTCCAGTGCCCTGAAAGCGAGAATGTTGAGGTTGAAGGAGTGGAACTTGAAAGCAGATTTGACTTAATCCGAATATCCTATCCGAGTTTTGGATCAGAAAGATCGTGTTACTCGAAGGAGGACAATCAAGTTCTACAAGATACAATGGAATCAACATTAGGAAGAAGAAGCTACTTGGGAATCTGAAGATTACTCCGTTAGAAAAGTTTTCGAGTTTCTTGCATCAATATAGAAGAATGTTAGTTTTGTTTTGTTGTTCTGAACCATGTTTGTAAAGGAACCTTAGTTGTTTTAGGAACAGGTTTGGATATTTTGGATTGACACATTTCCTTTTCCATTACTTACCCTATGACTTTGAATCTCGGGATGAGATTTCTTTTTAGGGAAGGATTGTAACACCCGTGGTGTTTTAAATACTAAAACAGGGACATGTCATCATATGCATTGTAAGGCATTTGGTCATATTACAAACTTTGATATGCATTCACTAAAATAAGTTTACATTTATGTTATGAGTGTTGCCTTGTATGATTTGAATTGAGTTCAAAGTTTGGTTTGGATTTGAAGTTTGAAAACCACGATTTCCAACGATTAGTTTTGACCCGAAAAAACCCATTTCAAAATCAGAAGCATATTTTGGGGTTGAGCCTTAAAGCAAAAATGTAGAGCTTGTCGAGTTGTACAAAGTTTGTTTTGGAGTTTTCAAAGTTGTTATGAAAAATTTGAAGCAATTTGAAAAGGCGAAATTCTTTAAATGTTCCTATTTGAATTCAAATTTGCATTTCAAAATATAGACCAATTAGGAGGTGGTTATAAAAGCAAAGTTGTAGAGCTTTGAATTTTGAACAACTTTTATTTTGGAGATTTTTAGTTGTTATACAAATTTGGGAGTAATTTGAAAATTTAGACGAATGACAATTCTGTAATTAAGTTGAACAGTGCTCATCGCTTAAGCTACATTGCGGCGATATACCTGCTCAGTTCAGGTCGGCGCTTATAGCCGCCGCTTGCCTTTGCTTGCAACAAGGAAGAAAGACCCGCGTGGCTTCTCCTTGCTTCTGAGCCGAGTTATAAGACCTGCGTCGTCGTCGTTCTTCGTCGTTTGCCTTCCTCTGTTTTCCCGACGAGGTGGAGCCAACCTTCGGGGGTCAGACGAGGCAGGGCCCATGGCCTCGGTTGCCGGACGAGGCGGAGCCCGCAAGAGGCGTAGTCGCGCTCTTGATCGCACGGACGAATCAACGTTGATGGTCATTAGCTTCTTCTCTTTGGGTACCCTAGTATTGGTCCCGGACAGGTCGTGAGTTCATTTGCTCGGTATGATAATCACAACTTTTATGACGTTTGATAATGGAGTGAAGGAATGAAATGCTTATGAGCACGAGCACGGGCAGTGCCCTTTCATACATGTTATCATCATAGGACGAGATGAATAGACAGACAGCAACCCTCAGTCTGGGATTATCATCTTTTTCTTCTGGCCAGTTGTCCTCCTCCCCTGATAAACCAATTAGCTGTTTGATTCGATAGCAGAGGTCCTCAACGGAGCTGTCTCGCCAGATTGAGACGTAGCTAGCTCCAGCATCAATCGATAGGAATATTTGACAAGTTGCATAACAATTATCTCTTCGAGACATTAATCAGAGACGATGTATATATCTGTAATCATGTAACTGTAGACGATGGATCGCTCGTTATGCGCCGGAAGACTTTGGGATTATTATGAGAGGCTTTCTGCTCCAGCCTTAATTTGTCTTGTGGTGTTGGTTAGGCCTAATCGTTCAATAAATCTCACCGGGCTGTCAATTTCAATTTGGTACACCTAATCGATACAAGGCCCACAGCGATAGTGATTCCGATCTGATCCACATAGCAGCCGTCTGCAACTCTGAATTGTATTGCGCCAACTATATATGATGTTATGATGATTGGCATAGCTACCATATTTTCTGAATGGAACAGATTATTGTTGACAAATAAAGTAGCAGCAGCATGGTACAAACATGAATGCAACCTCTGTTTTTTTCTTCCTGCCAGCAGATGATGGTCAGATCAGATCACTATATATATGTGCACAAGGATGGATTTTAATCCTCAGATTATGTATGTACGCTGGGGACAAACTATGGCTATACAATAATAACAAGAATGAAGTATGCTCTGAGCACATCAGCTCAAAAATCACAGGAAACAAATATGCCAGTGGTCAGACTAGTGTACGTGTGTTTGTGTGTGTGTGTCCTTGAACCTGTCACCTCTGACTAATCACTAGATATACAGTTGAATCGATCGATCCTCTTTATTTTGTGAGTCACCATGGTCGTCGAGCTTCGTTTGATTAGCGTGTCGGTATATGTGTCAGCAGTGTGCATTACATTGTGCAGCTAGCTCTCCATCACCTGCAAGATATATGCATTTGTGTCAGAAACCATAGGGATATAATTACAGAGAATATTACTACTAACTTACTCCATGAGAGATGTATATATATAATCATGCATTGTTGGAGAGAACATTATTGGTCACCTTTTACGCTTTGATTTGAGGGTTGACGTCTGGAGTTGTTGTGCCATTTCTCTTCCTCTGGTTGATGAACCAGTTGTTGATTTGTTTCAGCTGCAGGCCAGTCTCTTCAACAAGCTGCTTTATCGTCTTCCTGAAAACAGCCACTCAAATGATACCATCTTTAGGATATGCACACACGATACTTTACAAAACCACATATCTTTTCCTTTCTTTTCTTTCCCAAGAACTCATTTAATAACCACATAATTAATTAAGTGCCACGAGGAATATATATATATGCCAGCAATAAGCTTCATCAACAAGTTGTTGGATATGGAGAACAGCTAAGAAGGGTGACCACACACACCACACACCATCAGTGTATGCATTTGGTAGTAACAGTAAGATGGCTGGTTTGCATTCTTGTATGCATGCATGATAGCTACAATGCACTCACCGTAGGGTATGGCTTACTTGAGTGCTGCTGCCACCATTCCTTGAGGATGCTGGTAAGTGTCCCAGGCAGCTTCCAGCCCTCCTTTTCCTCAGAATTTCCTCCCTCACATCCTCTATTCTTTGACTTGAAACCCCTGCAACGAATTCGACATGACTTCACATCAACCTAAAAGCATATGCATGCACACGCTTTTATATGCAGTAGTATATCACAATTCTTCTACTTCCTCTTCTTATTTTTTATTAACCTGCTTGGAGCTCGATCTTGAGCTCCTGCCTGACCCTCTCCATGAGTGAGCGCTCGAGTCGGTGGGCAGGAGCAGGCCAGCTTCCATCATGTCGTGCCCATCGGAGCCCATGTCAGGCCCGACTCCAGCATCGGCGGCTCGTCTCGTCCTCCGACATGGTCGCCCCCGTCCCTTCCTCCAGCGTCGCCCCTAACATGGAAAAGATCAATAGTGACTGCCAGCAACGATGACTTTTCCCAGAAACAAACCGTGTTAATGACCTTTGTTAACATGAAAAATTCCTCGTCAATCGTTTGCATCCATCAGTTCGGATCACAATCACAGGTAGTAGTATAGTGATCCGTGATCGGGACACCACAGAAACATGTGTACGTTGTACGGAGGAATGCGTGAATGAAAGCTCTGGGACGTGCACTCGAGATAGACATGCATGAATCGCCGTTGCCGGAACGTGCATGAGAACCAGCTAGCAAGCTAAGCTAGCTTGTGCCTAGGTAGACATTTGTGCCAGCTCTGAGCATATGGCCACTTGCTTTGTGGAAGAAGCACCACCTAATTAAACACATGTATGCTAGATCTAGACGCTTTTGGAATTTTGCATCTACTCTCTAAAAAAGTAAAGATAGTGCATGCATGTCCGGAAGAGCTAGCTATATACTAGGAAACTGACTCAACTCAAGTGATAGGGATCGATCAGGGGCATGGAATGCGAAGAAATAAACTGAATAGGTTGGAAAAGATAACATAGACATCTAGAATTAACCACCAAGTTTTTTTTAAGAGCGATCGCAAAAGTTTTGCCGCGATTTCTATTAGATGAAGAAAAGTAAAAAAAGGCAAGTGTTCGCCCAGTTTTTTGAATGGAAACCAGGCCCAAAACCATACAACCGAGGAGAGTGTTCCACTCATCCCGCATACAACTTTGGTACAACAACCGAATAACTATTAAAACTCACGCCACTAACGCAGCTCCAACTTGGTCGAAACGAGCCCAACTAAAAACTCTACTAACAACTAACAAGGGCAAGTAAAGAAACACCACGGCATCATGTCAAATAGCAGAGCTTGGGGCATCATCATGGCCAGGTGGCAAGAAGCAATCCACGAACCGGAAAGCCTAGCAATGCCTCTAAGGAGGAAACGACACTAAAAGCGCCAGACAAGGTAGCCCATCAAGGGAAGGTTTTCACCTGAAACATCTAGTATGGTAGGAGGCGAGATAGGAAAGGACGCGCCCAAGAAGGAACGACGTCCAGACGAGTCGTCAAGCCGCCCCGACTGGTAACCTCACACCATCGCCGCTGAGATCGAATCCTACACGGAAGGCAAGATGCGGCGATGGATCAAGCTGAACTCCTCCGCCTCCCGCCGCCCCTAGGGACGCTGGCCAAGAGAAATGCCGAGAGAAGCTCATCGGAGAGTCCGCCCCCGCGAGAACCGCAAAGTCGGCAAGCCGACAAAGCTTAATCCGGCTAGCTCCCCCCGAGAAGCCACCTGTGGAAGGGGAAGACGGATGGCGGGAAGAAGAGGGCGGAATCGAAGAAGCCCCGGCCGCCTGGTATTCACCAACGTCCCAAGCCTGCCGAGCCAGGCCCTTGCATCAACCATCATACACGTAAGATCCACGGCCAACCTCCTCCAGCCTTTGCCCACTCCGCCATGCCACCACGGCCGTCGGCCTGGTTAGGACACGGATCGGCCCCTAAAGACACCGGATCCGCCTCAACTACCGAATCGCCGACTGAGCCACCGTTTGCAGGCGCCACCGCCGGCGTCAAAGGGGATCCGCCGCCACCGCGCAATACGCCGAGCCTCAGGCCAGCACCGTCAGATCCGATCTGGCCAAGACGCCGGAGCAGCCTTCTCTCGTTTCTGCGGGGATCCGGTACCGAGACGAAGCGCAGAGTCTGCAAAAGCAGCTATGCCCGACCGGAGCGAGCAAGGGAGGGATGAGGCGCTTGGAGAGGCGCGGGCACCACTGTGGGCATGCCCGGCCGTGAGCACACTCAGCCACCGGACCCCGGAGCAAATGTTCCGCAAAGCTCGTCATCGCTGCTAGCCGGGGTGGGAAAGGAGGGAGGAAGGAGAGTGATGGGTGAGAAGGAGAGCGAGATTGCCGCTGCCGCCTCCTCCTCGCTGCCACGCCAGTTCAGCCGAGAAGCCCGTGGCCGCGCAGCGCCCGCTTAAAGGTCTGCGGGGATGCCAGTGAGGCGGGTTGGGAGAGCCGCCGTCCTGACGATCGACGAGGCAAAAAAATTAGACCACTTAATTCGCTTATGCAATTAACCACCAAGTCAAGATCTAAGAAAAACGCCATGCCATCGATCATGAATTGTTTGTGTCAAGGTGAAGCTAGAGATCAAATTAATAGTTGTCGAAAAGAACAATAATCCTGAGAAGTAAGTTAAAGGTGCAGTAAAATGGTGGCGCCTCTAAAGTCTAAATCAAAACCTTTATAACAACATAAGCGTTGTAAAATTCAACACCATAACATGACATAATCAGCTAGGGGTCACAATTCAAAGATAATGTTTCCATGCTTGCTAAGTTATATATTGGATTGAACAACATATTTTCCTTAGTTGTGTATTGCATCGCCTTTTTATTTTTTGATGATCGTAATTGAGCTTTATATATATGTGTCGCACTAGTAAATTGAGGGAGTGAATATGTTCTGACTTCTCATTATATGAAGACGACCACCAAGAGCATGGTCATGTCAGAGTAACAAATAAAGGGTATATGTGGTGGTGATGGGCTGATGGATAGTTCATGTTCAATCATATGATGATACTACCTCTAGCTGATCACTTTTTGATAATGATGGATTCACATAGCAAATTGAACTACATATATATATGCAAGTCAAATTTGCTGCTGAAAACGTCAGTGTCAATTTTTCCCCTGATACATGGGAGGTAAGAAAATTCTACTTTTATGATTTTGTTGCTCTTATAGTCGAGCCTTTGAAAAAAATGGCCAGTGTATGCTATACCTCCATTGCTACCGATGTATGCCAAACCTCCTGATAGCTTCTTTGAAACATGAAAATTAAACCACATACAGATACATACGCCCTCCGAATGGTCGCTATAAATCATATACTATTTTACTACCAACTAATGGGTTGCCCAATACTTGGGGCTAATACCCATGCGTATTAATTACCAACTAACCGCGTATTGGGTACTAGCTAGCTAGTTTTTTAAAGAACTATTAGGTACTAGCTTTATTGTGGAAATTTTGGAATTTGGCCTTTGTTTTAAGGGATGACCAGGGTAATAACCATTGACAACCAATAAAAAACATGTACGAAAAATTATGCTCAAAGTATGAATTTTCATGTGCCTTCAGTTTGTTTTTTCCTAACATAGAGATGGCAAGGATTTAGTAGTTCTCCTGTCCTTGCCATGTACAGTTGGGCTGTTAGGCTTGCTACGTGGGCCTAAACTTCACCATCCGACCGAGTTGCATGCATTTGAAATGTTATATTCCGGTCTTTCAACAGCCCAGGTACGTACGCACTACGTGTATACTCCTTTTGATTTTGTACATTTCTTATTCCGTTGCTCGTTGAATACTAAAACTATATTTTCCCGGAAAACAACCAGAAAGAAATTTGCTGGGCATGTATTAATAGAGAAGAAGAATACAAAATACCTGCAGATTGTTAGTTACTTAGTATCTCGATCTTACCATCAATACTCTCAACGGTTAAACAACTTCGTTAGGATTGAGGAAACCCTTAAGACTCTCAAGCAACACACACACACACACACACACACACACACACACACACACACACACACACACAACAGAGATGCATAGAAGCCATGGAAGACGACGCTGCAACTAATTTTACCTTTGTATGCTTACAGGCATGCATCAATCAACAAACTAAAGAAACAGTGAGCGTGGTGTCATTCAAACTAACTACCAGCAGCAAGGAGAAAAAAGGCAGCGCACCGGATAGGCAAATCTTGAGAAAACACAACACCCAAGCTTGCGCAAATTAATGCAACCAGAAATGGAAGGACGAAGGAAACAGAAATTTGAAGGAGACAATTGGTGGGAAAATTAAACGTAATATATAGCTAATGAAACATATGTAGCTTGCTTACCGGTGAGGTCCTGCAGGGACTGCTCGATCTCGCGGCACGCCATGACGGCCTCCACGGCGTGCACCCGGACGTGCTGCTGCAGCTGCTCCCGGAACGAGCACAGCAGCATCAGGTACTGCGCCTGCACCACCATGCATGAGCCGCCATGCATATGCATGCATGCAGAGGAAGAAGAACCAGTCAGCTCGATGGAATTGGAAACCTAGATGCATGCGTGCACGATGCATAGCTAGAAGTAGTGGTAGCAGAGGACGTACGAGGAAGGAGTCGAGGTCGTGCTTGTCGTGCGGGGAGAGGAAGGGGCGGTGGTGGGCGGCGTAGGAGTGGAGGAGGCCGCTGGACTGCGCGAGCTGCGCGTCGATGAGGGGGAAGTGGTCGATGGGCGTCGCCACGCGCAGGCACCCCACGTGCGCCGCCACCAGCTGCTCGCACAGCGGGTGCACCACGATCTCCCCCTTGAGCAACTGCCGCTCCTCCGCCTCCGCCGCGTCGGCGGCTGCGGCCGCGGCAGCAGCAGCCGCCGCCGAAGCCGACGACGAGCACTCGGCGCCGCTGCCGCCAGCGTACCCCACGCCCATGTCCATGCCCAGGATCCCTCCTGCTTGATCACCGCCGCCGCCGCCGCCCTGCATATGTACCGAGGGGTTGTCTTGCCAAGCTCGATGTGGCCTCCCCTCCTGATCCCTTTCGATTGGACGCGCGAGCGGCCGGGCCAGGGGCAGCTCTGCTCGGTCGCTGGCCAGGCTTCTTGGCCCGGTTGGTGCTCGCTAGCTCCTGCTGGTTTGCGCACGCGCGTGCGTCGTCGGGTATGTATATATGGCGATGGCGAGCTTATGAAGCAACAACTGGGGCGGGCGGGCGGTGGCGGGGCGGCCACGGCCAGCGGGAGGAAGAAAGATTTAATGGGGAGTTAGTTAGCAAGGACACGAAGGAGATGGTGAGGCGTCTTTTCGAGGGTTCCTAAGCCGGGGGGGTAACGGCAGGGGAAAAAGGCGGCGGGCCGGCTGGGAGAGCCTAGCTAGCCGCTGCAGAGAGCTGCTAGGTGACCGAGACGAGAGTGTTAGCTAATCTACTGTCACCTCTAGGAAGGCGGCGTCGATTTTGCCTCCTGCGAGATATCTGTAGCCGGCTGCAAGTATAGGCGTCGGCAGTGGCTCACCCGCAGACCGTAGGAGTACATCAAAGTACTCGGCGTAGAGTTAGTCCTGTATGCTTATCTAGTTACTATTACAGCATGTACGCTGTACTTTAGTTAGATAGATAGAGTTGTATAAATAGGGCATCAAGACAATTCGAGTAAAGAGCTTAGGTTGTCATCACACGAGAGGAGTGGCCTCGGCCCAACGTTGTTGTCTTATATTGTGCATGCTTGCTCTGTTCTTCCTTCTTCTTCTAGCTCGATCAAGAGTGTGTGTGAGTGCGGACAAAGCCGATACGATGGTCGGCACGGCTAGTGGTCTGGGGACTAGTGGTCCGGAGGCCAGGGGTCCGAGACTAGTGGTCTGAGGGCTATCTGGTTCACTGTCGTCAGCCGGTGATCCCGTAGGTCAACAAGTGGTATCAAAGCTCCAGGTTCAAGCGCCGTCGTCATTCTAACCGATGGCGATGGTGGTGATTTGAAGTTGGCGACGACAGCGGTGGCATTATCATAGCTGCCCACCACTACCGGGGTAGTTGTCCGCGACGGTGCGGGAGGTCGATGGCACCACTTGGCCGATCGCGGACTCGCACCAACTATGGAGAGTGGTCGGTGACCATGAAGGTCAAGCTCAGAGCCTGACGGCTCTGGAATGCTGTTGATAAGAGCACCGACGTGGAAGAAGGCGACATATCGGCGTTGGAGCTATCCTCACCGCTGTGACCGGCGGAGTATAGGAAACCGTTAGACTTAAAAGCTCGGCTAAGAGGCGTGGGAGACCATTACAGCGTCTGCGAAAGCCGGTTCGACCGCCGCAAAGAAGGCGACGACCCACCAACGAGTGAGTACACAAACCTCAAGTTCAAAGATGATGAAACAGTGGAGGACTTTTCCTCCGCCTCCAGACGCTCATCGAAGCCTAAAGAGTCACCAGCGTCACCATCATCGAGAGAGGAGGTCTCCAAATTCCTCCCCACCGTCGCCGGCAAAGTACATCAGATCGGCTCTCCATAGAGGCGATGATGGACTTATCCACCCCTCACCATCGAGGATGTGGCGTGTCGTCTGCAAGGCGGTGGACGCGGCGCCTAGAGCAGCGACAACGAACGAAGGACGGGGAAACTCCTGGCGACGGAAGAAGAGTGGGCTGCTTTCGGTGAAACTCTGGGAAGGCAGCCTCCTCCGATCCGGTGGCAGCGACAAACATCGCGGCGGGGCTTCTTCGGAGAAGAAGAAATCGACTCAACGCATCGCCGGTATTTGCGGGAAGATGGGCCATTGAGGCACCGAGGAGTGCCCAAATCGCAAGAAGGAAAAGAAGGCTCGAGCTCACACCGGTGAAAGCCGATGATGAGGATGAGGCCATTATCCTTATGGCGACGTTATGTGCACCGCTGCGGCGCCGAGGCCATAGAGAGGGAAGAGGCGACAACGGTGGAAGGATCTATGGCATACAAGACCGTCAACCTCGAAGAACCACGGCGCCCAAGTCCATCTCGGGCGTGTGGGCGCCGACCAGAGCAAGCGGTGGTATCTCGGACTCGGTGCCGATGGTAACTACATGACGGGCTCAAGGACTCCTTCTCTCGAGCTCGATGGTGATGTTACCGGTACGGTGAAGTTTGATGATGGCTCAAGGTGGCCATCCAAGAGCGTGGCACCACCATCTTTAGATGCGCGGAAGGGGAGCACCGCGCTAACGGATGTATACTACATCCCGCGGTGCGTTCCAAACATCATCGCAGATTGGTCGGTGGATGAGCGCGAGCGCGAGTTTCGATCAAGGACGGCGTTCGAGGATCGAGACCGGAGCAGCCGACTTCTAACCAAGGTGAAGAGGTCCTCGAATCGGTTGTACTTGCTCGACACGAAGGTAGAGCGATCCCGATGCCTGGCGGCAAAGGCACTCCCGAGAGCCATGGATATGGCATGCCGGTTCGGACATCTCAGCTTGCTTCGGCAGCTTGGTCGGTGGGGAAGATGGTCCGAGGGCTACCCCACATCAAACACGGAGGCGAAGCTATGGTGACAACCGTACTGGCTGGAAAAGAGAGGCTACCTTTCCCAAAGGCGGCCAAGTATCGCGCGAAGAAGCTCTCGAGCTAGTTCACGGCGACCTCTGCGGGCCGATCACGCACCGCTACATGCGGTGGTCGGCGGTACTTCCTCTCCTGCTCGTGGGCGATTACGATCGCTACATGTGGGCGCAACTCACGAGCAAGGAAGAAGCGGCGGTGGCGATCAAGAAGTTCAAGGCGCAGCGAGGCCGAGAGCGACAAGAAGCTCCGTGCACCGAGGATCGATCGGGTGGCGAATTCACTTCGATGGAGTTTGCTACATCACCGCGTGGATCAAGGTGTGTGGCAACATCACACCGCCGTACGTCGCCACTGTGAGAATGGCGTGGTGGGCGGCGGAACCAGACGATGGTCGGCATGGCCCGATCCATGATGAAGGCCAAAGGGATGCCGATAAAGTTCTCGGGGAGAGGCGGTGACCACGGCGGTGTTCATCCTCAACCGCGCTCCAACCAAGGCCCTAACGGGCAAGACGCGTTCGAAGCTTGGTACGGGCACAAGCCGCGACGTGTTATTCCTCCGGACATTCGGTTGCATCGCCACGTCGGAAAATGAAAGCCAAACCTCACCAAGCTGGAGGGCAGAGCACACCCATGGTGTTCCCTAGGCTACGCGAGAGAGGGTACCAAGGCGTCACCGGCTCTATGACCCTCGCGGAGACAAGGTGACTATCTCGCGCGACATTGTGTTCAACGAGGAGGCGGCTTTGGGACTGGAGCAGTCCGAGCACGGGAAGCAGGAGGCTTCACCAAAACCTTCGTCGTCGAGCACTTGGTCATCCACGGCGGTGGAGACGCTGCATAAAGCAGTGCCACGCACTCCGGGAGGAGCGCCGAGCACTCCAGTGGTAGAGTCGAGCACTACGGGCAAAGTCTTAGAGCACTTCGAGAATGCCGAGCACTCCGGAGGAGTGTCATGCCTCTGGAGGGATACCGAAACACGCCAGAGTGGAGCCAGGAGGTTCTCTGATGGTGGCGACCACTTGGGACAGGTCTTGAGCACTCCGTAAGCGGAGCCAAGACGTCTTACTGTGGTGTCAACCACTCCAAGACTGAGGCTGGGCACTCCTACAGTGTGGCCAAACACTGCAGGAGTTATGACGAGCAGTCCAGAAGAAGTGCCGAGCACTTCGGGTGCTATGCAGGGCACTCCGGCGGAAAAAGGAACTCCATCGCCCCCGATCGAGTTCGTCTCACCTCCAAGTGATACAACTGAGTTCGTCGACCCCTACCGCGAAGGGGAGGAGTTGAGGTTCCGCAGGCTGGACGATATCATCGACTGCCGCAGTCCCTCGGGATCTGGCGGCTAGGCGCTCAGCGACCGAGTCGCTACCGTCGGTCGCGGAGGAACCACCACGTTCACGCTTAGCCGAAAGCGTGATGGAAACTAGCGACGGGCAATCTTTGGAGGAGATGAAGGCGATTGAGGAAAACGAGACTTGGTAGCTCGTCGATCCACCCCTAGGATGCCGTCCGATCAGCCTGAAGTGGGTGTACAAAGTCAAAAGGGACGAGCTCGGTGCCATCATCAAGCACAAGGTGCACCTCGTTGCCCGAGGCTTTGTCCAGCGCGAGGGCATCGACTTCGAGGAGGTCTTTGTGCTAGTAGCGGCGATGGAGTCGGTCCATTTTGCTACTTGCTTTGGTGCCGACAAAAGAATGGCGCGTCCATCACTTGGACGTTAAATCGGCCTTCCTCAGCGGCCGAGTGGCGGAAATAGTCTTCGTCGAGGCAACCTCAGGGGGTTCCTTTGTCAAGGGAGAGGAGCACGAGGGTGCTCCATTGCGCTAAGCGCTCACGGATTGTGGCAAGCCCTCGAGCATGGAACGCTAAGCTTGACACCATTACCGGGCGAGCTTGGGTTTCAGAGGTGCGCAGAATCGAGCACGCGCTTCACACGCGACGACGGGGAAGGAAGAGCTCGTGGTCGGCGTGTATGTGGATGACTTAATCGTCACCGGCGACATGCGGAGGACCTCAAAGCTTTCAAGCGAGATGGCGGCTCATTTTCGAATGAGCGATCTCGACGCCTCTCCTACTACCTCGACATCGAGGTGAGGCAAGGAAGGAGGAACTCACGCTTGGGGCGAGCGCGACGCCTCAAACTGTTGGAGAGGGCGGCATGGTGGAGTGCAAGCCATGTGTGACTCGATGGAGGAGCGGTGGTCGACGAAGGATAGACCGCGGCGAAAGTGGATGCAACACTCTCACCGGAGCATCGTCGGTGGTCTCGCTACCTAGTCCACACAAGGCCGGACATTGGCGTTCACCGTGGGCTACGTCGATCGTTTCATGGAGGATTCCGAGAGGATCAACTGGCTGCGGTGAAATGGCTACTACGCTACGTCAAGGGGACGGTGAATCATGGAATCATCTTCCCAAAGACCGGGGAAGTAGGTTGCGGCTCACGGTGTTC